ACTTTGACACAGCACGGTCAGCCAGTTAGGACTGTAATTCAGATAGTAACAATACATTAGCCTTTCTCGATAAGGGAGAAATGCTCATAAAATATAAAGGTGTCAGATGTACTTGAACTATCATCCACGCTCGGGTGGTGGAGGTTATATTTGATGTTTGTGCCGCGGTGACGAGATGTTAACTACCTCGCTTGGTATACATGAGTTCGTGGGTTCGTTCTTGATCTTGACACCTGCTGTATATTTGGAGTTTGCGTGTCCTTCTACATGTGGTCGCGTGGATTTTCTCCGGGCCCTCCGGTTCATCCCCTCCACATTTAGAATCAACATCACGCGTTTAGAGTATTTGGCTGCTATAAATGTCCACATGATGATAAGCTACTTCGTTGGGCTATCATTTGTGACGGCCAGGTCGCTTTGAAAAAGAGCTACGTAGCTCAGTGGGCCTTACCTGGTAAAATAAAAACAGTCAAACCATGAATTTATTTAAAAAAAGAAAAGGTAAAAGTTAAAGGTGCAGCCCTGCAATGTCTTGCAAACCGCCCCTGCTGGGGAGCTCAAGAGGGGAATTTTGGGCCAAGTCTTCCACGTTGACCAGATATCGTGTTATCCCACCACACGCGACTTGACGATTGACTTAACTGTGGTTGTATGTACGTAATTATACTGTTGGGTGGACAGCAATGGGAGTGGGGGGCACGAGGGGGCAGGGGTTGTGGGTAGGAGGCGTGTCCCTTTGTTTCAACTGTCCCTCCCGGAGAAATAACAGGCGACCTCTCAAATGCAAGCCCAGTGTAGAAGTTCCGCATTTATTTCTGAAAGTCAATCTTCTTTCCCTTTCATAGGGACATCAAAGCCACCACAATTTCACTTTCCAGGTGATCTGTTACGGTGGCCGCAACTCACTTTGATAGATCAGATCCCATTGGCGCGGGATCTGCCAGAGGACAATAGCCAAGTTTCAGTGTGCGTACGATAGCACGCAACTTGACACTCCCTATGAAAAGTAATCAAGGTAGCCCATATGAAACAACTTACATTTTTTAAATATATGTTTATAACAAGTTAGCGTATTTTTGCTTCTTTCGGTAAAGTCACGTAGAAGGGAAACAATAAAATAAAAATAAAACAATAAAATTCTCACGACGTTTCGACTGCAACACAAGCAATCATCATCAGGTGTGAAAACCACGGCAAGAAAATTTGAAAAAAGTGGCGTTTTTTTAACGTTAGCACCACGGAGAGCGATTTGGCAGATATTCAGATGGACAAGTCCATCTATGTTCGGAAAAGAGGAGGGGGAGACGAAAATAATAGATGCGGTCTGAAAGCCACCGTAAGCGTGAACAATCAATTAAGACCCGAAATGGTTTATCAAATCCTTCCAATGATTGCTAAGCCAGAATCCATCTTCTCGGTTGAAATTATCTCTGTGTTTGTATATGGGGATAGCCTCATGAACGAATCTCTCATGGTAGCCAGATGGCTTGCAAAGAACCTCTGTCTTGGAGAAGTCAATGTCATGTGAGCCTACTGAATTATAACAGTGATCTTCCACGGCCGAGGTGTTGGTCCTACTGTGTTTTAGGTCTTATGTTAGCGTGTTAAATAGTTGGGCAATAAACAATATATGCAGTGAGGGGAAAAAGTATTTGATCCCCTGCTGATTTTGTACGTTTGCCCACTGACAAAGAAATGATCAGTTTATAATTTTAATGGTAGGTTTATTTGAACACTGAAAGACAGAATAACAACAAAAAATTCCAGAAAAACGCATGTTAAAAATGTTATAAATTGATTTGCATTTTAATGAGGGAAATAAGTATTTGACCCCTCTGCAAAACATGACTTAGTACTTGGTGGCAAAACCCATGTTGGCAATCACAGAGGTCAGACGTTTCTTGTAGTTGGCCACCAGGTTTGCACACATCTCAGGAGGGATTTTGTCCCACTACTCTTTGCAGATCTTCTCCAAGTCATTAAGGTTTCGAGGCTGACGTTTGGCAACTCGAACCTTCAGCTCCCTCCACAGATTTTCTATGGGATTAAGGTCTGAAGACTGGCTAGGCCACTCCAGGATCTTAATGTGCTTCTTCTTGAGCCACTCCTTTGTTGCCTTGGCCGTGTGTTTTGGGTAATTGTCATGCTGGAATACCCATCCACGACCCATTTTCAATGCCCTGGCTGAGGGAAGGAGTTCTCACCCAAGATTTGACGGTACATGGCCCTGCCCATCGTCCCTTTGATGCGAAGTTGTCCTGTCCCCTTAGCAGAAAAACACCCCCAAAGCATAATGTTTCCACCTCCATGTTTGACGGTGGGGATGGTGTTCTTGGGGTCATCGGCAGCATTCCTCCTCCTCCAAGCACGGCGAGTTGAGTTGATGCCAAAGAGCTCCATTTTGGTCTCATCTGACCACAACACTTTCACCCAGTTGTCCTCTGAATCATTCAGATGTTCATTGGTAAACTTCAGACGGGCATGTATGTGCTTTCTTGAGCAGGGGGACCTTGCGGGCGCTGCAGGATTTCAGTCATTCACGGCGTAGTGTGTTACCAATTGTTTTCTTGGTAACTATGGTCCCAGCTGCCTTGAGATCATTGACAAGATCCTCCCGTGTAGTTCTGGGCTGATTCTTCACCGTTCTCATGATCATTGCAACTCCACGAGGTCAGATCTTGCATGGAGCCCCAGGCCGAAAAAGATTGACAGTTCTTTGTGTTTCTTCCATTTGCGAATAATCGCACCAACTGTTGTCACCTTCTCACCAAGCTGCTTGGCAATGGTCTTGTAGCCCATTCCAGCCTAGTGTAGGTCTACAATCTTGTCCCTGACATCCTTGGAGAGCTCTTTGGTCTTGGCCATGGTGGAGAGTTTGGAATCTGATTGATTGCTTCTGTGGACAGGTGCCTTTTATACAGGTAACAAGCTGAGATTAGGAGCACTCCCTTTAAGAGTGTGCTCCTAATCTCAACTCGTTACCTGTATAAAAGACACCTGGGAGCCAGAAATCTTTCTGATTGAGAGGGGGTCAAATACTTATTTCCCTCATTAAAATGCAAATCAATTTATAACATTTTTGACATGCGTTTTTCTGGATTTTTGTTGTTGTTATTCTGTCTCTCACTGTTCAAATAAACCTACCATTAAAATTATAGACTGATGATTTCTTTGTCAGTGGGCAAACGTACAAAATCAGCAGGGAATCAAATACTTTTTTCCCTCACTGTATGCCACGTGTTTTTAACGTATGCAATGACTTGCATGGCAAAAGCCAAAGTGATTTCTTGGCTCATATGAGCATTTGGAGTGTTCGGTGAAGCGACCAAGATATTGCAAATGGACAGACATGCTGACCAGATTATAAGCCACCAACACCACCACCACAAGATAATCTTTAATAGTCAAAAATGAGAACTGTTGTCAAACGTTAACCGGGCTGAAAGCGACGCAATTAAAAGGGAAAACTTTGCTCTGCCTTAAAAACAAAACTACAACCTTCTTACTCCAACAGATGGTCGTAATAATAGTTGATGTATGTTGAACTTCTTTCGCACCGTACGTAGACAAACCTGTAACACGTGCAGCATTCGTTCACTCTCATAGAGAGACAGAGAGAGGATGACGACTCAAGAGCCGCGGGAGGGAGCTACTGACAAGGCAACAACCAGCCAGGCGGTGAACCGGTGCCAACAATTGCCCAAGCTCTGCGCTCCTCTACACCTTAAGGCGTTATTAGCCAACTGAACCACGCGTGCGAGGAGGAAGCACGCTATTTAGTGCAGACGGAACAGGTGGAGTCAACATTTTCACTGTAATGTCTTATTTGTGTCTTTGTATTTATGTCTGTCTCCGTGTGTGCTTATGTATGTTTTATGTATGTGTACGTGCGTTCATGTATTTGTATGTTTGTCCATGTGAATGTATGTCTATGTGTTTGTTTATGTATATGTTTATGGCTATGTTTATGTGTATGTATGTGTTTATGTCCGTGTACATGCATGTTTACGTGCGTATTTACGTATATGTCTTTATGTGTTTAACGTCTCTGCGTGCATGTATGTCTATGTATGTGTGTGCCTATGTCTATGTGAGTGTTTATGTCTGTCTTTGGTTATGTCTTTGTGTTTATGTATGTCAGTGTATATATATGAGTATTTATGTCTATGTGTTTACGTCTATGCATGTGTCTATGTTAGTATTTACAGTATGTCTAAGTATGTATTTATGTCCGTGTGTGCATGTATGTTTGTGTGTTTATGTATACGTGTTTATGTCTTTGTATGTGTCTGTGTGTTTATGTCTGTGTGTACATGTATGTGTGTGCATGTCTTTGTGAGTGTTTATGTCTATGTATGTCTACGTGAGTGTGTTTATGTCTATGTGTACATGTATGTGTGTGTGCATGTCTATGTGAGTGTTTATGTCTTTGTATGTGTCTGTGTGTTTATGTCTGTGTGTACATGTATGTGTGCATGTCTTTGTGAGTGTTTATGTCTATGTAAGTGTGTTTATGTCTATGTGTACATGTATGTGTGTGTGCATGTCTATGTGAGTGTTTATGTCTTTGTATGTGTCTGTGTGTTTGTCTGTGTGTACATGTATGTGTGCATGTCTTTGTGAGTGTTTATGTCTATGTATGTCTATGTAAGTGTGTTTATGTCTATGTGTACATGTATGTGTGTGTGCATGTCTATGTGAGTGTTTATGTCTATGTAAGTGTGTTTATGTCTATGTGTGCATGTATGTGTGTGTGTGCATGTCTATGTGAGTGTTTATGTTTATGTATGTCTATGTAAGTGTGTTTATGTCTATGTGTACATGTATGTGTGTGTGCATGTCTATGTGAGTGTTTATGTCTATGTATGTCTATGTGAGTGTTTATGTCTATGTGTGCATGTATGTGTGTGTGTGCATGTCTATGTGAGTGTTTATGTCTGTGTGTTTATGTCTATGTGTGCATGTATGAGTGTCTACGTGTCTGTGTGTGCCCGCCCTACCTTCCTCTTCTCCCTGAACTGGCGGAACGCGCTCTGCAAATCCACGTTCTCTTTATTCTGTCCACCACAGGACTCTGCATGTTCACCACCACCACCATCACCACCGTCGCTATGGCCTCGGTAACTCGATGACTTCGCCGTGGACGCCGTGAACGCCGACCCGTGTTGCCCACTCCTCCCGACCCCGCTCAGCTCCAATGCCATGCCCCCCCGGGGCCAAAGTAGGGAAAGAGCCCAACCCGACTCACTTCATCCACCCACCCACACAACCCCCGGCGGACGTCGCAACCGCCCTGCGGCCTAGCGCAGGCTCCCGGGGCTAATTTCTAGGCAACGCGTAAACAAGTGCCGCGAGCCGGTGTGGGGGGAGGCGTTCGTGAACGGCGCTTTTCGTGACGCGAGATTGGCGCGTCGCGTGGTTGCGTCGGGGCTGCCCTCGGGTTAACGAGTAACCGGGGGCGGCGGGGGGGGGGACTGCCGCGACTTTCTTGCCCGCGACTCTCCAAAGCCGCTTGGAAAAAGCTCCTAAAGTTGCTATATGGTTTAAAAAAATGTTTTTGAAAGTGGCTTCCCTGGCAACGGCGCACCAACAATTGCCGTTGCTATGCGCGGGTGACACCGCGCGCTCGTCCAATTGGCTCGGGGGCCGCGGGCCCTCCGGCCAATGGGGATGCAGGGATGAGGTGTGGGGGGGGGGGGGCAACGCGGAAGCGGGAAGCGGCTCGGCGTGAGGCGCACGTGGGCAGCAGTAGGACCGCGGGTTATCGATGTGGGTGCAGTTCAGTCTGGAGTCACAGGGACAATAATACACACAAAAAGGCAATAATAACGCTTTTTAATCACAGAGCAACGTGCTCAATGTGTCCACCGTTGTTCCTGGTACACGACTCCTCGAAGGTCCACTGCGTGTTTTTTTTTATATTGTATGAATCCCGTTTTCCTAAACTTTGTAACCAGTTTGCTAACGCAGCTCTGTGTTATTGGCTTGCGGTCTGGATGCAGTCTGTTACATTCAACAGCGACGACCTCTGTCTCCGATTTCCTACGAGTAGAATTATCTGGACTCGTTCTTCCTTACTACTCAAACATTTTTGGCCTGCAGAAACAAAACATGAATTGAGTTTTTTTCCCCTATGATCCCAGATGTGTTTTTATATATAATTGTGTCGTTAAACCCCACCACCACCCCACACAGCCGACAACCGCACTCAACAGGAGGAGGATTTCTCCACAACTCTGGCCGTTGCTTGATGACACGCTCGGGTTGTAATCAGTGCCGGATGCTCGTAGCACAAGTAGCTACATATGCAGTAGCTACACGTGTAATAGCTAAATATGTAGTAGCTACGGGCCCCGCACTTTCAAGGGCCCCGCGCTAAATGCTTTCACGCTATCAATTCCGGTTCAGTGAATCTACACTTGCTAGATTACTACAGTACTATACTGCCTTCAACTTTTATGAATTACTGGGTGTTTAAGGTTATCGATTTGTCGTATTATCTGGCTGTATAGCAAATAAATATATATATAATTTACTATGCAAGTTAAAAATGTGTTTTAATGTTGATGGGTTTTTTTAAATTTAGGGCCCCTTTATAACATATTCCTACAAGCCTCGCATTAGCTGAATCCGGCACTGGTTGTAATCGCTGGCGAAACGTCGGACTCGAATTGTTAAATGAACCTTAATATGGCGCACAATGTCCGTGATGCAGTCACTTTTAGTCTGTGTTGATGGTCGGCGAAGCGGCAATCGACTAATCTCGACGAGTTGTAAACGATGCACTATTCAGAGTTTAAATTTTGGATAGCGGATTTTTGTATGCTGATGCTTGGCGTTTCGACATCGCAGAGTGGCACTGATTTCGGATTGATTGGTCACCCCGATCGCGGAGTTAAGTAACACCCCTGGAAAAAATAGTGTCCCAGAAATAAAATATTTAATTGCCTCGGCCAATTTGTATTATTTGGTACCCCGGGGTACCGCCATAAGAATCAAATGTTGTGGTGTGCTGTACTAGTAACGGATCCGCGTCTTCTGTTTACGTAACACAACCTTACTAATTGGCTGTGGCGGGTTTAACGAAACATTTATATTTACGCGCTCTAACACAAAAAAACCTCTTATTATGAACTGCACGCTTAGAACCTTTAGCCTGGAGAAATCCGATGAGCTATGAAGCTCTTTTTTTCTATAGATGTCCAATTGCTTATATATAGTTTATATATAAACTGTATAATTTATATAGTTTTTGGCTTCTCAGCAGAGGACAGTGCAGCAACAACACAGTTTTGCGCTCGACGAACTGCATGTTTTATATTTCTGGAGCCCAGTACAGACCACAAATGCGACGGAGGCGGGGGGGGGTACAGAAACGTCGTGGACATTAAGTCCCAAACGCTGTGCTCGTGAGTTTAGAGGTGGGGGAGGGAGATTGGGGCGTCTATGTATGAACTTCTTTCGCACCGCACGTAGCCAACCGTGCTAATCGGAGGTGGGAGATTATCTCAATGAGCGTCTCTCACTGAGATGTTCGGAGTATGTTGATATATACACATTTCATGTTTATGTAATGACTGAAAAATTACCCCAAGCCGAATGCAGCCTAACGGGTATTTAAAAATAAACAACGGCCTCCGATTGGAAGAAAGAGGCCTCCACGGTGATTGGTCGGGAGGCAGACTTAAAGGGATTGGAGAACAAGGGGGTTACACGGGAAAACAAAAAATAATAAAGAAAAAACCGCTACTTTTTTCAAAAATGTTCTTGCTGTGGTTTTCACACCCGATGATGATTCCTTGTGTTGCAATCGAAACGTCGTGAGAATTGTATTGTTTTATTTTTATTATTTCCCTTTCTACGTGACTTTACCAAAAGAACCAAGAATATGAATCCCTGCAACCACGAAAGCTTTAAATCGAAAAATAATCCGTTACAGGGAAAGGACAGTGATTGGCTAGAGGTAAAAACAAGGACGAGAAGATCTTGACTTAAAGCTTTCGTGACTGCAGGAATTCATCTTCTTTGGTTCTTTCGGTAAAGTCACGTAGAATGAGAATAAAATAATAAATTGATAAAATAAAATAACACAATAATATTTTATCAATTTATTATTTTATTCTCATTCTACGTGACTTTACCGAAAGAACCAAAGAAGATGAATCATTGCAGTCACGAAAGCTTTAAATCGAAAAATAAACCTATCTACGTGACTTTACGGAAAGACCCAAAGCATAAGGACAAGAGAAAGGGGCTGAGGGAGATATAAGGGGGCAGCACGAGGAGTGAGGACGTTGGGAAGAAAGATACAAGCTGGGAGACAAGAACGAAGCTTAGGGTCCCTTATTGTTGGAAATCTTAAAATAAAAGTGGCTCTTCATACCTGTCGTCGAGTCGCTACATATATATTGTAACCGATGAATCGATGCCTAGGAACGAGCATAACCCCGTAGTTACGTCGCGATGCTTGTTTGCCACGAGGTCGAGTGCTCCTATAAATTTGAGACGAGTTGTGAAACTCCACACTCGAAGCAGCAGCAGCAGCAGCTCTGCTTAATGTTCCGAGTCGGCTCCACAGTAGGTGACGGGCGTTGCCTTTCACACCCGTGAAAGGATATATAAGCCCTGGATGTTATTTATTCATCCCGCTTTGTTTTCAGGCGAGAAGGCGTACTCGGGACACGTCTTTTGCAAACGGATACCTTGCGATGAACACACGACCCCGGCCGGTGATTTGTGAAGGAGCAAAAGTGGTTGCAAAGATAAGGGTACGCGATCTTCAGAATGCGGCCGAAAGGGTTTTTTTTTTAATGGTTACGCGGAGATACGGAACGGGTCATTCGTAAGAAGAGCACGCAAGTCGCAGACGTATTAAATGGCACGTCCGTTCCTCTCACTGGTGTGAGAGGAGTTTGTTTTTAATTTCTAGTTAAGACGTCCAAAGTACATAGTTCTGGTTGCCTATGAAAAAAAAATGCCCCTGTTTTTTTATCCCATGTAGCCCCTGTAGTAACTCTCCCCTCCCCATGTAACGTTTTCATGAACGTCGTATCAACCCGTTCCGTGAAGTCCCTGTAAACCCTTCGCATGTAATGTATTCGTTACCGATGGGACTGTGGCAGATGGTCAGGACTCAGTAACCGTGGAGAGGCGACGGAAAATGGGGAAACCACGTGAGAGAAGCTGACCATCGCGGAGATGGAGCGATAAGGTCACGCTCGTGTGCCATGCGCCAGATCGAATAAAAACTAAAACTTTTTTTAAAATATTTTACTAGGTAAGGCCCCCCTGGACTCGACAACTCTTCGTTAGAAGCGGCCTGGCCACAAATGGTAGCGCAACGAAGTGGCACATCGTGTGGAAATTTATAGCAGTAGCCAAAAACTCTAAACACACCCTTCTCAATGTGAAGGGAAAAACCGGAGGACCCGGAGGAAAATCCACGCGACCACGGGGAGAACATGCAAACTCAAAATATACAGCAGGAGTCAGGGTTGGGATCGAACCCACGATCTCCTGCAGACCAGGTAAGGTATTTAACATCTCGTCACCGAGGCCTTGAGAGATGGCGACGGCGTGGGAAGGCAATCACCCAGAGGTTATAATGGCGGTTTTACTTTTGGCTGCTGTTTTCTCTGTTGACTGCTACATGATACTTTTAAAAATGAGACGTTTCCCCTCCTGGTTAATTATTTCCCCCCCCCCCCCCCCCAAATAAACTGGATTAATTGAATTGCAGCTGCCATCTGAATTTATAACCTTGGAACTTGGCAGTGCTCGCCCAATTGCTCTGATATGGGCAATATTAGTAGTTCCGAAACCACCTTGTTCTGCTTAAAAAAATAATAAAGCGAACATAACACAAGCTGACGCCTGTGACCTCAGCGTTCGCTCGAGTACGCCCAATTACAAAATAATATTTCCATGATGCAAACCGCCGTGTGGAAACCCAAGACAATGTGAAAATACAAGTCAAACTGCATGTTTGCATAGCTGACTTTCCTAATCTTCTGAGGTCTGAAATTCTGTGGAGGGCAAATACACGCTGATTTTCACCCGAAGCGCCGCAGCGTGTCGCAGGGTCTGGAGTACAGTTTAGATTGTTTGGCCGCTATAAATTTCCACATGGCAAGCCACTTCGTTGAGCTATCATTTGTGGCCAGGTTGCTTCTGAAAAAGCTCATTGCTCAGTGGGGGCTTTACCTGGCAAAATAAAAAGTTAAGGATTTTAGTTATTTGTTTACCTTTCCTATACTTTGTGAAAGAGATGAACAGCACATCAGGTTGCTCCTGCAGTATAAATAAAGATTCTGATCATGAAAAATGTGCCGATACGTTTGACCAAAGACAGCCCCGACTGCAGTGCATCCTACCCAATGGGGATCTTGTTCTCATCCACAGCGTGGATGCACCTAACTGTTCAATAGCCAAAGTTCAGCTTAGTTCAGAGCTGTAGCAGACGGTACGGCCAGCGTGACGGGATCACTTGAGTGTCCCATCAGCATCGCGTCACGCGCGTCCATTCAAATCTCCCAGAGAGCAGTGCATCCAGTCGTGTTAAGAGAATGCCAAAAGGAATCGGATTTCACAGAGCTGCCTCCGAGATCACTTCATGTGACCTCTGGTCTGCTTTCACGGTTTTATTTTGGTGATTTCGAAAACGTTTTTTGGTTTGGACATGTTTGTTTTGTTGTAGTACGGAGTTAGACTGATGGCCTTAATCCAAGTTGTCTTGTGGTTGTTGTTGTTTCACTTGCATCCCACTGGGATTTTTGCACACAGCGTTGGTGTACGGTGCTTTTTCTGGAATATTTTGTTGTTTTCTTCCTGGATTTTCTGTTTGCACAGTCACATAGTCACTTTAAGATGTTTTCTTGTTCATGTTTTTGTTTTTTGTTTTGTTGCGGTTGCACCCGATTCAAGAGCCGAATGGCTCACAGGGCTATACCAAAATAAATGAAACTGACAAACTGAAACTGGTCTACACAGTCGGGGGCACCACATTCACGCCTGCTCTGTATATGATAGTAGTCGTACCAATATTCAATATTCCGAGTTGGAATTCATCCAGATTGAATGTGACGGTTTATTTGCGTGGGGACATTGGTGACCATGCAAAGATCGTTAATTTGCTACACTCGGGTACCCAGTTGAATTACAAGTGGCTGGATTCGAACCCAGGATTTCATCGGTGTCAGCTTGGCGTGATTACCCGAGCCATCCGCGCCACCTCTCAGGATCCCCTTTGTCGGGTGGTTGGCAGTGCCACTTTTTTTTCCTTTAAGATTGGTCGGCAGCAGTGGTGAATTGGACAGGACTTCTCGACACCATAAAGTGTGATGGGAAGAAGATGCAACTCGATCCTTTTGGGCGTATCCTCAAG